GCTCAGCTAAGTGGTAAGTATGGGCTTTACTCCAACCGCACGGACAATGGCGAGCATCTTTTGCAACTCTATGCGGAGCACCAGCTTTTTCTTAGTATCGCTGCTTTCCGACACAGTGGGCACCGAAGCGCCACTCGTCGTCCTCCTGTAGCTGGTCAGTGATGGACCAGAATAGATCACATTGCCATAAGTTACAGGTGGCGTGGTCGCGTCCTCCATTGCCGCTCGTACTGGAATACTTGCGTCGACTCTGCTCATGCCTTGGTGCGCTGTCACCTTTTCATCAACTTTACCGGGAGGCTCACCAAGCGTCTCCCCCCTTGGCAACTGATTATTTATTTCAGCCCTCAGTCAGGCAAGCCTACAAAGTTGCATTGCGTACCGAACTTTCGCTCCCTTGTCCAAATGACACTGAACTTCAGTGAAATAGGATCACGGTCGCCATGCATAAAGCAGGAGAATCTGCTTGTGATACTATCAATCGTCACCACACCAGTCACTGGTTATCCGAGATGTTAGTGAACCTGTTGGAATACAGATGAAACTTCCCGGCTGGCTCTGAGCACAATGTGACCAGACGGACTATTAGGCGCGAACTAGAGCGGAGCCCACGCGCTGACACAGAAAGCTGGTGGACCAGTCGGAGCCAGGAAATGGTGGAGACGGGAGCAGTAGGGAACTATCGCAAACTCTTCCAGCTGATCCGCATTGCTGGTCCTAGGAAACCAGACGTCAGTGAGATCATCAGAGACAGCGCGGGTATGCTAATTCACAATAAGGAGCGTTGTATGGCTCGTTGGGCGGAACACTTTCAAGTTCAGTTCAGTTGACCCCCTGCTTCCGGACTTCCTACTCAGATGACACAGGATGAGCCATGGAATGTTAGTTTAGAGCCTCCGTCGGAGGCCGAGGTCCGAAACTAGATCACAACCCACAATCGTTTTCTTGCCGCTTGCCCAGATTCCGTCCCACCTGCGCTATTTAGGGATGGAGATGAGGTGTAAATAGATGGGTGTTGCTCTTCCCAACACTGGCCCACCACACCGCGGTTTCATCCTGGTCTGGACTCATCAGGTGGAGATAGCCTGAGCTGGGGTGGAACTCAGAGCCTAGTAGTTCACGGCTGACGCCCTGAACACTATGCTACTGAGATCCGCGAGCAACGCTTGGCACAGCGGAACGCAATTCAAAGCAGAATTTAGGGAACACGCTGTGTGGTTGGGTTGCGACTCGCAACCTCTATAGAGACCTCGGTTCACTTTGAGGTAAACCTCGGTCATTCCGATCTCGAGGACCGTAGGTGGAATGCGAATAGATGAGGGTTGCTCTTCCCAACACTGACACTGGTGTGCTAGTGTGTGTGTGTGTGTGTGTGTGTGTGTGTGTGTGTGTGTGTGTGTGTGTGTGTGTGTGTGTGTGTGCATAGGCCATGACGAATGGGGTGGAACGAGAAATTGTGTCCCATGAAACCATTGGCTTATTTCCTTCCTGAGCGACATCGCGAGTCCACGTGAGGCCATATCAGCCGGGTTCGGCTTCGAAGTTACGTAGTGCCACTGACTGGGGTGAGAGCACCATTGTATACTGGTAATCCGGTTAACAACTTAAGTTGGAAACGCCTATTAACACTTCGAAGAAGCTTCATAACTACAATCGAGTCTGTCCAGAATGTTGTGCTACAATGGAATGGCATCTCCTCTGAGTTTCGCTGAAATGAGCACGCTCAGGACGGCAGCAGTGAGCTCCAACCTTGGTATAGACACTGTTCTAATAGGACTGACACGTGATTTACTAGTAATCAGGAAACTACTAACAATGCCTTCATCAACCTCGCAACTCCAATATACAGCAGCACCATAGCCAGCCTCAGGCGCATCCGAAAAACAATGCAACTGCACAGAAGATACACTGCATCCGAATGGATTAATACAACGTTCAACGGACAAGCTGTTCAGACCATTGGCGTTTTATAACCATTTGTTCCAAGCTTGCTGATCCTCTGCGTGAAGAGGCCTATCCCAATCCAGCTTCCTTTTTACGAATGTAACAATGCCTTTGCCGAAAGTAGCACGAGAGCAATGAGGCCGAGAGGATCATAAACTGAAGCTACAAACGACAGTCTGGCTCTTTGGGATAAGGTTTTATTAAAACTTTCTAGCCTAAAAGTTACGTGGTCCTGGGTGATATTTCAGTTTAAACCAAGCGCATTTGTAAGACAATCGTCCTCAGTCGAATATCGTATTCCGGGAATTTTCAGTTCTCTGTCAAGTAAATGCGCCATAGCCTCCTTTCTCTTGTTGATCCATTTCGTCAAATTAAATCCTCCGTCGGACAGAATACGTGTGATGTGTTTACGAGTTCAGTTGCTTCGGGAATAGAATCGACACTAAATAAACAATCGTCAACCTAAACACAGTTCTCTGCTACTTCTTTCTTTTGTTTGGGATTTACACTAAGTGTCAACGGTAGCTTGTCGTAACGCAAAGTTAGCACAGCTTGGTGACGAAGTAGCGCGAAACGGATGTACAGACATGCGGTATTCAACTGGGGGTGAACAAAGATTGGCGTTCTTCCACCACAGGAACCTCAAACAATTCCCATCCTTAATAGGAATCTTGACCTGATGAAACATCGCTTCAATGTCGGACGCGACGACAATTGGGTGGAACCTGAACCGCAAAAGCGTCTCCACTAGACTTTTTAACATATCGGGACTAGGTACAAGTTGCTGATTGAGGGAAGTTTCACGGCATGAGGCTTGCCAATCGAAGACTACTCGCATCTTATCGGACTTACGTGGATGCGATACCGAGTGGTGGGGTATGTACCAGATTTTCCCTGTAATCTGCTGTTCCTGTAATGGAGCGTTCAGCATATCCTTTGAATATATACTCTTCCACTGCGCAGTGTGGACGTTTGGTGCAGTGTGGCATGCTTTGACAAACGTTTCTTCAACATGACAAGCCTCATCAGTGCGAATTTTCTGTTATCTGGTAACCGAGGTCTCCCGCCTTGCCACGGTAACCTAGTCTCTTAGTGTGGGCCAAACCTTTCTTTTAGTGGCTTCCGTTAGAGGTGGCATTTGGTGTACCCGCTGTGTGGTTGGATTGTGACTCGCAATCTCTATTCAGACTTCGGTCCTCTTTGAAGTAGACCTCGGTCATTACGATCACAAGAACCGTATCCTGACACAAACTAAGGCTTCCATTAGTTTTAACACGCTTCTGTCGTTCACAGACATGGATAATCGTGCACTATCTAGTCCGCCAAATGCTTTTTCATACATTTGTTCTAGTAATTGATGAAGATCAGTGGTATCGCAGCGAGGTGAGTTGATCCTCCGTGTTCGAGCAACTACCTGTGATCTGGATTGACCCTTTATAGTCTCGTGCTGTTTGTTCGGTCTCAGTACGGTCCATCCCAATGGGGTTTTAACAGCATACGGATCATCAGGATCCTCGCGCATCTGATCTAATGCCCAGTGTAGGTATGGGTTATCGCTTTCAAGCAAACGTTCAACCCTTCCTCCCAGCTCCGGTAACCGTAGGTCGAAGAGGTAAGACCATCTGTAGAAATCGTTCTTGTTTCCCGTTCCAAGTTATTCAAGGAGAAGACTGACTGACCTAATTGAATCCAATTGGATCGTTTCATCACTATCTATACATTGAACAGTTACACTAACCAACTGGGACTCCACTTGGCATCGGCCAGCAACAATGAACAATGAATTTATACGGGTTAAGAAGCGTTGCTTTACAAGTTCCGTTGGATAGTCGCAGGGGATATCAAGGTAACAATAATGATGATAAGGGTAGTAAAATAGTTAATACTTTAAATATGAAAACGAGGACTTATCGTTTGTGTCGCTGCAGTCCTGCGATCCTCTTAGATGCACATCATCCACAGTTAACAACAAATAATTCAATGGTAAACTCCAGGTGTAGGAGGGAGACGTAGTGTTAAGTAACAAATTGTAAGTGGATGAGTGCATCGTTCAACCGTCTTTTAAGTACTGTTAGTGTCGGTGCAGAGACGACCGATTCTGGGAGAGCATTCCACGGGTGACAGACACGGATGGAAAAGAAATTGCTGCGGCACTCCAGACGACAGTATTGTTCTGCGAGTTTTAATGAGTGGCCCCTCAGGTTTGTATTGATGCTGAGTTGCAGTAAAGGGCGGCACACATGATGTGGGTCTCGCCGAATCAAGTATACCATAATCAGGTCGCCTCGTAGCCTGCGATAGCTTCCGCTGAACAATCCCAATCGTCGCAGCCTCACCTGGTAGGAAAGATTGTGCATTCCAATTACGTTCTTAGATGCCCGAACTTGTGGCTGCTCCAGTGCATTAAGGTCGTGTTTCAGCCATGGATGCCAGGCTTGAATTGCGTATTTGACATGAGGGAGAACATACGCACTGAGCATTTGTCGAAATATGGAGCTGTTTATTTGTCCAAACGCCCGCCTCAACAGCCCCACGTGTTGGTTCCCGATCTTCGAGGCCTTTTCGGATTGCCTGGAGCAACTCAAGTCATCTTGAACCAGGACACCCAAGTCACGTTGGAGAGTTGATTGTTGCAGTACATCCGTTCCGAGTCGGTATGAGTAGCTGCTTTGATGTCGGATGGAAAGCACCTTGCATTTACTGACGTTGAAATGCAATAAGTTTTGGGTCGACCGTTGATACACCGTATCTAAATCACTCTGAAGCACATGTTGGTCGGTGTTCGCCTGGATCCTGCACCAGATCTTGATATCGTCAGCAAACATTAGGAAGTTTGAAGCGATTCCCTGTGCAAGGCCATTAATAAACACCAAAAGCAAACGTGGACCTAGAACTGAGCCATGCGGCACACCAAGCTCAACTTGTATGGGGTCCGATAAAGAGCTCCGAACTCTGACCACTAATTGTCGCTGAAGTAAAATGTTGGCGATCCAGCTTAAAAGAGGGTCTCCGATCCCGTAATGCTGCAGCTTGGATAGTAGTGTTGGGCGGAGCCTGGGATACTAGTCGGTAAGCAATGACACGTAATACGTGTCAAATACGACAGTATAGAAGTCGGAGGCGACTGAACCCAACGTATATTGTGCAGGCTACAAGAATAGGAAGCGAATCAGACAGAGCGAGAAACGTGCAGCGAGGTACTCACCAAAACGGTTTGTGTCAACGGACGTGCAGTCAGTAAAACAAATGGACGTTTCGAAGGTTAAAACAACCATAAAATCCAATGTTACAAGATACTGAAAGAGCATGTTTTCTGTTGCACTACAAGGGCCTCCCCCTAGAAGGCTGAAGGATGGAAGCCTTCGATAGAGCTGTTAGTGGGGGAAAATGGAAGGTGAGGGGGATGCGAATATTTGCAGAGGCTTGAGTAAGAGTTTCCAAAGTGGGTTGTGTAGCAGATTTCGCTGGGTCCAGGCTTTTGTTAGTTATTATTTATGACGATCGTGTGGACCAGAGTGCATCATCGGTGGGCCGTCGGGGCGGGCTGGTCGGACTGCAAAAAAACTGGCTAGTCCAGAAAAAAGGCCGACAGGACCTTCCCTTTGCTGCAGACCCGACGGTGCGCTTGGGAGGTGTCACTCCCCCCACCGCACTTTAGTCCACGGTCCTCGTCCCACGAAGAAATCCAGGCGTCCTCGTCCCACGGAGAAATCCGGCGTCCTCGCCCCACGAAGAAATCCGGCGTCCTCGTCGGCAATGCCTAGGCGGCGTTTGGGGACCAATCCGTTCGTGGGTGTCTGCGGTCGAGGGCGACTGTCTGTTCCTTGGGTGAGGAAGGGGGCTTTGGGACGGCTGGCGAGTCACTCCAGGGTTGCGTTGAGCCGGTTGGCGAGTCACTCGAGGGTTGCCTGGGCAGTTCCGGCGGTTGAGTTTCTGGAAAGTAGAACTCAGAGGGGTGGGCAAGGGTCGGGGAAGTGGCTTGACGCCGGAGAGGGAACATGGCATGCATGATAAAAGCAAATACGCTTTTTAGGTTTTCAAAATGTTTTGGGTTTTTTGTCGATTTTGCAAAACGTTTGTGGATGAGACGCAGGATAACCATTAAAGACGAAAAAGGCGTGTTAATGGAAATAGCAAACGCTTACAAAATCGGAAAAACGGACCGGACGTTTGACCTGTCTACCGCGTCGGTCGGTTGCCTGGGGTTGAGGCGGGATAGGTTGCGGGTCAAGGGGTACGGAGGGTTCCGGGTTATCCAGTGCTCGGGAAGTCACCACAGGTGCGGGTGCTTGTGCGAGAGCATCAGGATGGGCTGCAAGTGGCTCGTCAAAGAAAGCCACTTTGAGGCGGTCGATGGACACCGTTGTTCGGTGACCATTCTGGTCTAAAGTAAAGTGTTTCGGAGTCCGTTGCAGAACTCTGAAAGGGCCAGTGTAGGGAGGCTGGAGAGGGCGCCGCACTGCGTCGGTGCGGAGGAAGACGTGAGTGCAGGTAGAGAGTCCGCTGTGCATTTGCACATCTCTAGTCTGTTCACGGGGCGGGGTCGGGCGTAGTGAACGCATGCGTTGAGCTAGGGAGGACGCAAAGTTAGGCGGAGGCATACCCGACGATGCGGGAGGTGAAACGAATTCTCCTGGTAACTTGAGCGTCGTGCCGTAAACCAGCTCTGCTGGTGCACATTGCAAGTCAGCTTTGATGCTGCTGCGAATGCCTAAGAGTACGAGCGAAATGTTTTCGCTCCAGCTAGGGTCGGAGGAGGCGCAGAGAGAGGCTTTAAGCTGTCTATGGAAACGTTCAACTAACCCGTTGGCTGCTGGGTGATACGCTGTGGTATGAATGCGGCGACAGCCTAAAAAGTTGCAGAACGTATCGAATTGTGAAGATTCGAAAGGCGTTCCTCGGTCAGTTGTGATGGTGGATGGGCATCCGTAGTGCGAGACCCATCGGTCCAAGAAGGCCCGGATAACAGTCTCAGCTGTGCAGTCTGTTACGGGAATGGCTTCTGGCCATCTGGTGAAGCGGTCGACACATGTAAGAATGTATACGAATCCGCGTGAAGGAGGCAATGGACCTACCAGGTCTAAGTGTACATGCGAGAACCGAGAGTCCGGGGCAGGAAATGAACCAAGAGGACTGCGGGTGTGACGATGTACTTTAGAGCGCTGGCATTGAAGGCAGGCGCGAGCCCAGGTACGAACATCTTTGTTTACGCGTGGCCAAACGAAACGTTCGGTGACCAGTTTCAAAGATGCACGGATACCGGGATGTGATAGTGAGTGCAGTGCGTCAAAGACTGTGCGTCTGAAGGAGACGGGCACGAGAGGTCTAGGACAACCTGTGGAAGTGTCACAGAGGATGGTTCCTTCCGTGGTTTGGAGAGGAACAGGTTGCACATGCAGCGAAGTGGACTGCAGAGTGCGCTGTATATCTTCGTCTTGAGCCTGAGCCGATGCCATGGCGGCAAGGTCGACGGTAGGCAAAGACTGCAGAGTGAGGTTGACGCGTGAGAGAGCGTCGGCGACGGGATTGTCGACACCTGAGACATGACGTATGTCAGCAGTGAACTGCGTGACAAAGTCTAGGTGTCTTGTTTCCCGTGGTGAGTATTTGTCGCTAGCAGAGTTGAAGGCAAAGATAAGGGGCTTGTGGTCAGTGTAGACCGTGAAAGCGCGGCCTTCAAGTGTGTGCCGGAAGTGACGTATCGCTAGGTAAATGGCCAGCAGTTCTCTGCCAAACGTGCTGTAGCGGGATTCCGCTGGCTGCAGGCGCTTGGAGAAGAACCCAAGGGGTTGCCATTGCCCACCAACGTGTTGTTGGAGGACGGCTCCTACCGCGACGTCTGAGGCATCAGTCGTAATAGAAAGAGGTGCAGTCGATTCGGAATGAGCGAGGAGGGCTATGTTGGAGATAGCATCCTTGAGCTCGGCGAAGGCTGCCTGTGCTGTGTCAGGGAAAGCGAACTTACGTTCATTTCCTCTGAGTAAGTCAGTCAGTGGCTGCATGAGCTGAGCGCAGCGCGGAATGAAGCGTCGATAGTAGTTGACCAAACCACAAAATCGACGGAGGTGCTTGAACGAAGTCGGAGCTGGGAAGTCCTTGATTGCCTGGATCTTGTCAGGAAGGACTTCGATACCAGACGATGAAACGAGGTGGCCTAGGAATTCTACCGTTGATTTGCCGAGTTCGCACTTAGTCGGGTTGACTGTGACACCGTGTTGGGTCAAGCGCTGGAAGAGAGTTCGAAGATGCTCGAGGTGCTCTTGTTCCGATGAACTGGCTACTAAAATATCATCGAGGTAGGAATATGCGAAGTCTAGGCCACGAGTGACATCGTGGATGAAGCGTTGGAAGGTTTGTGCGGCGTTGCACAGTCCAAATGGCATTCTTAAAAATTCAAACAAACCGAAAGGAGTGATGACGGCTGTTTTAGGAATGTCATTGTCTTCCACAGGTATCTGGTGATAGGCGCGAACCAGATCGATCTTGCTGAAGATCGTCTTACCTGTGAGGCATGCGGTAAGGTCCTGCATGTGTGGGATGGGATACCTATCTGGGACGGTTAGGCGATTGAGTGCGCGGTAATCACCGCAAGGGCGCCAGTCACCAGATTTCTTGGGGACCATCTGCAGGGGCGAGGACCAAGGGCTGTCGGAAGGGCGGATTATTCCAAGTTCAAGCATGTGCTCAAACTCCGCCCTAGCTACCTTTAGTTTCTCAGGCGATAGTCGGCGTGGACGGCATGACACAGGTGGGCCATTCGTCCGTATGTGGTGCGTGACTTGAGCTGCCACGGGCAAAGCTGCGTTCATTGGCTGAACGAGCTTGGGATACTGAGAAAGAGATTAGCGTAGTCTGGCGAGGTCTGGGGAAATGCATAGACCGGGGATATAGATGTGACATCGGCGGTGATGCCACGTACGCTGAGTTTTGTTGCAGTGTCGACTATCATCTGGCGTTTCGCATCGACCAAGAGGTCGAAATGCCTGAGAAAGTCAATGCCGATGATGGCAAAGGGGACTGCAGCGACAGTGAATACCCAGCGGAAAGTGCGCCGAAGACCTAGGTCCAGGGTAAGTGACCGATGACCATAGGTGGCTATTGGCGTGCCATTGGCGGCACTGAGGCTTGTCGACAGAGAAGTGGTAGGCTCACCTGGCATAGGGGGAATGACGCTGACTTCCGCCCCGGTATCAACTAAGAACTGGGTATCGGAGTCATAATCCCTAATGTAGATGAGACGACTTTGAGCTTTGCCGACGTTCGTGGCCATTACAGCCCGGCGTGGCGGATCATCTATAGCGGAGTAGCTACACGGCTGTACGCACTTACGGGCTTTAGTACCGAAACGCGAGTGGTAAAAGCAGTAACCTGAGGCATCAGGTTTTGTGCGACGGTGCGATGATCCAGAGCGGTTGCGGTGCTTACGTTTTAAGGTGAGTTCTTTGATCTGGCGCTGAAGCGACGCTATCTGCAATGATAATGCGTCTATTGCCGACGGAGGGCTAGTCGCGCCTGTCGTTGTGGTTGCGCCAGCGCAAAGCTGCTTAGGTGCTTTGGTTTCAGTCTCTGGCTGGTGCCGTTCGATGACGCGGTCTGCTAGATCTGCAATTGCTGTGATGGGCAAGTCACTTGCTACTGCAAGGATAGCCTGTGTGCTTTCAGGAAGGCGTTGCATCCACAGCTCGCGGAGAATCCCTACGTCCATGTTGGACGTGCCGATGAGCTGTTGCATTTCGCGCAACAAGGCTGAGGGCATCCTACCTCCTAGCTGCAGATCACTAAATAGCTGCTGCAGACGGACCTTGTCAGAAGGCGTGATTCGCTGAATAATAGCCTGTTTAAGTGTCTCGTATTTCATTACTAGAGGGGGGCAAAGTATGATGTCTCTCACCTGCGAGGATATACTATAAGGAAGGCAAGATATTAACTGATTATACATGGCGAAATCAGAAGAAAGCTTACGAATATAAAATGCGGATTCTAAATGCAAAAACCATAATAAAGGATCATTCTCCCAAAAAGGAGGGGCCAATGCAACCGAATTGACCATGGCAGGCTGAACGGCGTTAACCGCGCATGGAGACCGCTTATCCTCTAGATTATCCATTGCAAAAAGCAGATAAAATATGTGGTAGGTGAGAAAACAATATGATCACAAGTAATGAATCACAAAATCACTGGAACGAGCTCACCAGAATGAAAATGCAAAATGGCGGGCGGCGTGTTCCTGACAGGGGGTCACCAATTGTTGGGCGGAGCCTGGGATACTAGTCGGTAAGCAATGACACGTAAGACGTGTCAAATACGACAGTATAGAAGTCGGAGGCGACTGAACCCAACGTATATTGTGCAGGCTACAAGAATAGGAAGCGAATCAGACAGAGCGAGAAACGTGCAGCGAGGTACTCACCAAAACGGTTTGTGTCAACGGACGTGCAGTCAGTAAAACAAATGGACGTTTCGAAGGTTAAAACAACCATAAAATCCAATGTTACAAGATACTGAAAGAGCATGTTTTCTGTTGCACTACAGTAGTATCCGACGGTCTAGACGGTCGAAAGCCTTGGAAAAATCCAGGTAGATCACATCAACACCTTCTACAGCGTTAGCTGCCTCGGTCCAACTACTGCGTGCAATTAGTAAATTAGTTGTACATGACAGCTGTCGACGCAAACCGTGCTGTTCAGGATTGGTGAGGTTGTAGTTTTCCAGATAGTACACCAGTGCATCGGCAACTGTGGATTCCATGACCTTGGGGAGTATAGGAAGAAGGGTTACTCGTCGGTAGTTGGAGGGATCAGATCTGCTTCCACCTTTGTGAATCAGGCCTATTATTCCAAGCTTCCACATGGCGGGAACTTGGTTCTGGTCTAAGCAGTGCTGGACAAACTGAGCTAAAGGTACTGCCAGTTGGTTTGGTGCAGCTCCCAATGCCTCTGGACGAATGGTGTCGACACCCGGTGAGCTGTGTTTGCGTAGAGAAGTCAACATTTGCAATACAGCCTCTGCGGTAAACTTGATGTGGGTTAGTCCTGGTGGGCAGAATACAAAGCTTGGTAGATCGCTTGGTGGCAAGACTCTTTGAAACTTGGGGGCGTATTGCATCTGCAGCGTGTTTGCAGCTTCCATAGACGTTCTTGTTGGGCCATCAGCCGTCCTGAGTAGAGGAAATCCTTGCCTCACTTTCGCGGGCTATTAACGTGCTTGTACAGCAGTTTGTGGTTAGCACTGAAGGTTTTTACAATGTTCTGCTGATAGGCGGCTTTGTCTTCTCTTAACAGTTGAGTGCAGTGGTTACGTTGGGCTACGTAGTTGTCCCACGTTTCTGGTGCTGGAGCTTCTCTGTACAGTCGCCATGCTGCGTTGCGTACTGTCATCCACTTTCGAGTTCTGCTCCTAACGAAAGAAACTGATTTGCACTTATTGCAAGCTTTTATCTCTGAAGCCTGTGCAATCAGCTGACTGAATGTGTTGACAAAGTCGAGCCAGCCGAATTCCGGGGGTTCTTCTTCGAGGAAAGACCATGTTGTGGCGCTGACTAGCTGGGCGAGTCGCTCGTACCTTGTGATGGTTCGCACAGTCTCATCGTTATCATTCCGATATTCTGAAAAGCAGACGAAGTTAAAACTGATGACTGCGTGATCACTGCGACCCAACGGGCAGTCTAAAAACAACGCATCAATCATATGCTCCTCGTTGGTAAGTACAAGATCCAGCACAGATGGCCTGTTACCTGTTCTGAACCGAGTGGGCCAAATGATGTGATTGTAAAGAGGAACAGTAGTTACTAGATCTTGTAAATCGGTTTTGAATTGTTCTCCGATCGTGGCAGGGGCTTCTAAACAATGTACGTTGAAATCACTCAAGATAGCCACCCATGGTAGCGACACTTCGGCGTCCGTCGTTCCCGTGTGCAACCACGTTTCGGTGATACCAATGACATCATACGAGCCGGAAGCATGGTGATCTTTCAGTTCAGCCAGTTTGTTAGAAAGTCCCTGAGCATTTGTATACAAACAGGCCAGTTTCTCGGTATCTAGGAGCCCACAGAGAGGTGAAGCCGTCACGTGTGGGAGAATGCCGACCGATGGGAGGTCGGCAGTTGCCTGTTAGTTTGACGGGATAATGATACCTCGTTTGCAACTTGATTCGGCCAAGGTGCATCCCAGCCTTCGTTTAGACCTACGTCAGAGTCAATTAAAGCAGCAGTCAAGTTACGCTTCTGTGCATTCGTCGGTATGCTTGCTGCTTCAGTTGTTTTACTATTTGAGCTGTGCAAAGTGATTGCGACCTTTAACCGAATTTCAGAAGGAAGATTTTTCCGATTTCTCCGCAATCGATCTAAAACATCCTATGCTTATTGCTCTGACTGAACCACAAGTTTTGGGATTCTAGGGTCGCGTCCTCTACAATTTGGTGAGAGAGGTATCCTGGTGAGCGGTAGTGCCACAATATTATCCAAAGGAAGTGTTTCGCGAATGAACCGCCACTGTTCTAAATCGTGCTTTCCGGTCTGTTGAACATCAGTAGAAGGATGTCGTGGCATGCCACGTATGGAGATTGTGCTTAGGCGGTCTTGCTTGCTGTGCCCCTCTTCGGTGTTTCTTTTTGATTGTCGCGCGCTCCAAGGTACATCAGGATAGATACGTATCCCACAGGATCCGTGTTTTAGCGCGCTTCCGGAGAGCAAAACGTTTTCTACGTTGGCAGAGGATTCTAGTGTTACTCGAATAAGTCTGGGTTCGCCATAGTGTGGCAAGTTTGGATGATGAGTAATTTGTAATAAGTTTATAGGCTTGGCTTTGATACTCATCTGCATGCACAATGAGTTCCATTGGTCTTAGTCGTCTGATAACTTATCCCGCAATGTGATGGCGGTAGATTCAGGGACATTTGAGCATACAACAGTCCGGGCACTGTTGTTGGATACCTTTTCCTCGATCTACAAGGTATGGTACTCGTTTGTTCTGATCTGTTGACAAGTGTTGATTTTTTGCTGTTTGTCCCTCTATCCGCGTTAACGGTGTTTACAATGGAAGAGGACGCAACGACGGCCTCTCGGTGGACCCTTGCAGCAATCTCTCCATAAGTAACTGGTGTTCTGGGAGGCTTAGTCTTGACAAGATATTTGGGCTACAGGTACTGAGGGTTGGTGTTTGGCTGCTTCATTATTTAAAATGCTAGATATCAGGTCTAGTGGAATTTGTTTAATCAGACGTTTTGAGTGGTGCTTGGTTTTAGTTGCCGTGAGTACTGTTTGACTCTCGTAGGTACGGTCTGTTTTCGCCTGGCGTTCTACCAAAGTTGGAGAAGACAACGGAGATGGAGACGTGGCTGATTGCGGTTCAGGGGAAGCGGATTGTTCAGAGCTCCGTTGCTTAGAAGCCGCTATGCTTCTGTGGTCCATACTCACTTCCACTGAAGTAATCGTACCGTTTATCCTCTGCTCTGCTTCTGCAGTTAACCGGTCGCATTTTTGAGCTAGAATAAGCAAGCACTTAACGTGGGGGATGGTGGAACACGCAGTACAAAATCAAAATGCATCTTGGGAGCTATTTCGCTCCCGTAACTGTTGTTGGGACACATTTGCCCACTTCGTATGGTACCATTCCAAACAGTGCGAACAAGCCAGACTGATATTTACTACCCGATGACATTCTCCTAACCCGCAAATGCCTTTCGATGGGAGTCTCTTCGGTTTCGCC